TAGCTAAATCTACGAAATTGAATTATCGAGGAGAAAGCGAAACACAGCGTGAGCCTAAAGGCGGAATTCACGTTGAAAGGCAGCTAATTACGAAATTAAGTTAGAGGTGGTCAGTGGTGCTGGATGAGGAAAAAATCATAGAAAACGGCTCAGAACCCGAGAAATGGGACCCCTTCCTTGCCCGTGATTTCCGCATTGATGCGACTCTCATCGATGCTCTCTGCTCCATTGCTTAAGACCAGCGGCGAGCGGTCAACCATCGTGGACGTCCCGCGCCAATAGCGCCGTGGGGAAGGCCATGCTAGGCCACCGGGGACTGATGAATTGCGTGTCGGTCCGCACTCTTACAACTAGGGCGTCCTCCTGTCTTTCCACTTGGTAATTTCCCTCTTCTTCGACTTTCGACCTGATCATGGAGTTGCTCTTTCAAGGGAGGATAAGATGGCGCGCACTGGAGCAGTGTATGCATCCTTGGAAGCAGTAACCAGGCGGCAAAGGAAGCCTTTTTTGCAGTGTGTCTATGCGCTAGTTGCAGCGGATTAAGAATTCGAACATAGAAACACATTGCTCCAAAATCAGTCCGCCCACTTGTGTGGTAATCAGCAGCATATTCGCTTCTCATGTCAGAAGTACATTGCACTTCAAATGAATGTATCTCTTATTTGCTTGGTCTTGTAAGCCATCACTTGAAGCATGATACTTGTTGGCTTATAGTGAAAGGAGCGCCCAGCAAGTCTATGTATCGCGACTGATGCTCTTAAGAACAATGACCAAGATGGCTAGAGGGTGCGGTTTGATGAAGGCGGTCCTACGGCAGACTAAACCCTTAAGCGCGCTGGTGATATGGTTGGGAGCATTTTTTACCAATACCTTCAATGTCGTCATCGAGACCCCGCCATCCTCCAGCCATCGTGGTCACTGCCCTTAAGCTCTCAATTTTTGTCTTGACAAAAACCTAGACGGCTGGGAACCGAAAGAGGAAAAGTAGTGAAAGTTATGCTGTCTAGAAGAAGGATGTGCGAGCATCAGGCATAACAAATGCAGAATATGTCTGGAATTTTCAGAATATCTTTTCTATATGGAAGTCATTTTTCCGCTTTTGGCTGCAATCGATTTATCCCTGCGTTCTGAAAAAAGGCCTAAAAATTGATTGAAGACGAAAATCGAAAATTTGTGCACTTTGAGTGCGTACGATGTTCGGCATGATGCTGCTGAGCGTGGATTTATGATTATGATTTAACGTCCGAATTGACTGCATTATCTCATGTGAAGACTTTTATCAAGAAAGGTCCTTGTTTTCGAAGTTTTGGACATGCGCTGAATCCATTGCACACAAGTCAAAAAAGTAAAACAGATAACAAATCAATATAATCACAAAACAAGAAATAAATCATGCAAACCAAAACAAAAAAAAAGAAAAACAAGACATAAGCAAAAAACAAACATCAAAATACTCACAAAGAAAAAATAAAAAACAAAGACAACAAGCAGTCAAAAAAAAACAAACGACAACACAGAACACAAATCACAAAGAACAAATCAAGAAAATCAGATCATAAAACAAAGCAAACAAAAAATTCAAAAATAAATAAATCACAAGTCAAAGGAATTCACCAAACAACAACATAAAGTCATCAACATTCAAAGACACAAAAACTCAAAACAGAAAGATCAAACAAATAGAAACAGAAACACAAAAATCAACAACAATCAATTTCAATCATGAACCACAAGCAAATCACAAACAATAACAAAAGATACAAAAGTCACACAATCAATTCAAAACATACAATTCAATAAAACAACATCAAAACACAAATACTCAAATAAAAATCGAAAAAGATCACAAAAGTAAGAATCAGAAAACAATGTTTGGGGTTGGCCCGCTCGGATCTGTTATCTTTTGTGTATAAGTGCTTGTATGACTTTTGTAAAGTCGAAGCAAAGTCAACGGGTCGCGGAATCAGAACGTGAGAGCCCTTCGTACATTCGCTACCCCACAAAACACGTACTTTTCTACTATCAGTGCAGCTTGGAACGTTGTTCACCATAAAGCATCTTCGGTATCGCGAAATCTTTTGAAACCTGCGTGCATAAACTTGGAAGATTGTCGAGAAAATGTTGAAATTCTAGCCACCTAGAGAGCTCAGGGTAATTCACCCCACGCTACTATGCAAGCACGCAAAAATGACGCGAACCACAAGACAGCTAAAAAAAAGTCATAAATTGTGGTAATCCTATAACAAATTACATTCAGCTGCACATCGTGCCATTAAATCGATAAAGCTAAGTGCACGATCGTGAATCATCATCCAACACAATCGAACGAAATCCCTGTGATATTGACTACCTCTGACTTGTCACTAGCGAACTCGCAAAGGTCTCTTGTGCTGTTCAATCTTCCATTGCGTAATGCTCATAGAATAAGTTAGCTGTCTGTGACTGATAGTAAGCTATGTTGACAACATTTGGCTACTGAGGATGATGAAATGCGACTGCTATTGTTGATGCTCTTCAAAGCTCACATGTTCGCTTCTGCTACTTATCCTTTCTTATCGTATGTAGGCAGAGAAATTTTCAGGGAGCATCTATTGAAGGGTGCGTGACGATTCAATCGTGGCGATGGCTAGGTCGCCGCGCCAGCCGCCGCAGCCCGCGATGCGACGTCGGCCGTGGCTAGAATTCAGGTTCTAGCATTGGGGAATGTAGGATTAGATGAAGTTCCCAGTCGTGAAACACGGTATATGATCACCTGCCCCCTTAAAATACAGGATCCTTGTCCTTTGCCATTATTACAAACTTATTCTGTCATACTGATGTTAATGCCTTCCTCACCGTTCCACTGCGTAATACTTTTCCGATTTAGCCAGATTATCGCTCTGATAACAATTCAGGCAGTTGATTAATAAAGAAGTCTCATTATGTTCAAAAGGACAACCTTTACATGGCACAAGCTCTGTACAGTGAGGCTTAAATAACTGCGGAGATCTTAAGGTGACTCTTGTTGGCTCACTGATGTCTGGAACTTTGGTCTTATCAGTTCTCTAACCCCACCAGCAACTTATGGACAAGGACCGTTAAGCCAAGACCCATACAAAAATCGCCGCACCCTGCCGCGCGCGACGCTGCCCGCCGCGTGAGCGGCGTGACCTCATTAGCCGACGATTGAATTGACCGTCTCCCCATTGAAACTGGGTCCGCCCAGGTCAACTGAAACTAATCCTCATTTCGGACCCAAGAGAATGAAGAGGCTGGTAAATTAGAAGTTGCCACCCCCCCCCATCGTGAATTGTTGCTTTCAATGCCTCTGCGGGTTTTTATGTGTAGTCAAAGTGCATGGTTAACTAGACCATCTGCGTTTCCTTTGAAACTCGTTTTTTTGTGGTGGTGTGGTCACATAACTTTCATAAAAATCATATTCGCACCACCCGGGGTGAATCTCTCCCTCAGAAATGCCAATGAGATAGCGCTGTGATGAGCTATCGCGCTCCGTGTGTGATGATGTCGGCCTGTTTGCTACATCCCTTTTTAACGATTTTTTGGGACGATTTGTGCTAATATCGTTTAATCACCGCTCATTCGTGCATCACAGGATAGTTGCTCACGATTATTGTGTGCTTATCAGCTCGCTAATCTGACGTCGTTCAGATCTGTCGTATTTCGATGTCTCCGTCGACGATCTCCCGAAATGATGTGCTCGAGTACGAAACGTTTCTGTTCGATGCTGATGGTGTTCTGTGGATGGGCGACGTTCCAATTCCGGGTGCCGTTGACTTCATCTCAACCCTTCAGGAAATAGGCAAGCGCATCTTCATCATAAGTAACAATCCGACTAAGACGATGGATCAATACATGTCTAAGATTTCGAGAATGGGATTTCGAGGTTTTACCCACGAAAATGTAATAAATCCTGGTGTCGTGATGGCCACTTACTTTCGTGATCGACAAGATTACGCTGAACAGCCCGTGTATCTTCTGGGCACAGAAACTCTCAAAGCGACGTTAGAGAGCATAGGAAGAGTGCGTTGCTTTGGCACTGGGCCAGATCACTTCAGAGATCATTCAAACAACGATTTTATATACAACATGGATTTTTCGCCGATTCCGAAAGCGGTTGTGTGTAGCTACGATCCACATCTTAGCTATCCCAAAATCATGAAAGCAGCCAATTTTTTGCAGCAGACTGATGTTGAGTTTTTGGTAACCGACGAAGATTACACGTTTCCTGGACCGTTCCCAGGTGTTGTGCTTCCTGGATCAGGCTCCACTTCGTCTTGTATTCGAGCAGTATCTGGTCGTACTCCGTTAGTATTCGGAAAACCGCATAAGCCAATTGCCGACTTCTTGAGGGAGAAAGGACGAATTGACCCGACGACGACGGTAATGTTCGGCGATAGACTGGACACGGACATTCAGTTTGCGAACGAGAACGGTTTCACGAGCTGTCTGATGCTGACCGGTGTCCATTCTATGGATGACGTGCTCGAAGCGGAACAACGGGGCCAAAACAATCTCATTCCAAATCATGTCTTTTCGTTTCTTTCTCAATGAATATTCACATGTCATTCTTTCGTCATAATGATGCAGTGGCAAGTGGCGCAGCTATCAGGCTCATGGTTCTATGGCCAAACTCGGATTCCATCCAGTCCTGGCCAACCAACCTTTTCATCCCGTCAGGATTCGGCTTAGTGGGCTGAACTCCTCCTCTTGGAAGATGAACACTGACTTGCACATCGTCGAAGTTTTAACAGTTAGTTGAATAGGAGAAGTCATTGTTAAATACTCTCACATCTGAATGGAAGTAGTACGTGTGGCGCATCCCAAAAAGAGAATGCCTCATCGGAATGTTCATAGTTGCCTACCTTTCCATGACCATGTCGAAATCGCATGAGATATATGCAACAACTCATGATACACTCGGACCTTTTTTCTTGATGGATGCCCTGCTTGTTTGTTTGTACATTCCGAATGAAAGCCTAAAAAGTCGATATGGGTACGGGGGAAAGTGCGTTTGCAGCAAAGAGTCCGCCCCCAGCGGCTTAGCAGAGCCGTACACGCGACGCTAGCGCCGCTGTCCGCCCACCGCCTCAGCGTCTGAGTCTAGCCTTTCAGCAGAAAGAGCGTTAGCGTTGAGGAGACTAATGAGAGTCGCATCAATGCCGAAATCAACAGGAAAAAGAGGTCCCATTGGTTCTGGGCCGCTTCTAATAGTTTTTCTTCATCCCTGCACACACCGCCATGTAGATCGTCGCATTGTAGGAAATGGTGGAAACTCTTGAAAGCACTACGTCCTTGGTTTCCTTGTCGCGCACTTTCGAGTAGCGAAAATGGCTCAGAAAAAAGCGGGCAAAACATGTACAGTCTACCTACCGACTACGGTTGTGGTCATTCCAACTTCTAAAGACACCATGCTTCGTCTACCATTCAAATCTTTGCGGTATTTGGGTGGGTACATGGTCTACAACGCGACTTGCTCCTGCAGGCAATGTACGAGCCAGTGTTATCATTTCCCCTGGCTATCTTCAAATCAATTACTCCACAAGGAAAGGACAAAAAGGTTGGTTGGCCTTAGGACACTTGATCTTGGATTTGGTCCATACACTTTGCTTGCTGTGCACCTATCAATGACCCACCTCTGTTCACCTGTTTTTCTAGGTGATGAAAGATGCGCTATCGCTTAACTAACGCCGTTCATGGGGCGGGTTTCTTGAGAGGGGCGGGACCTGTAAATGGAGCCGTTGACATGTGCATAGCTTTATTTGGAAGGCACATCTGCCAGAAAAATTGTAAATATCTGCTTGTACGGTGAACATGGAAAAATTTCAACAGTGTTTTCGAGGGTCCTCACATTGGGATGATGAATCTAATAGATTGACACTGTAGATGTTTGTGGTATTTGCAATTCACAGTCACTATTCTTGCAGTCATATTGATGTCTTACTGCATGTATGTTCGTTGTGGTTGGTTGTGTCGTTTCAATGAAATTATTCCGAGTTTTTTTTCACACCGAGGTGTACTGCTCTGAACCTAATCATTAGATGCATGTGAAACAGATGAGTCAATTATAATCTCAAAAAAATGTAATGATATAAATGAGTCAATTAAAGTATCAAGGGCAAGTTCAAAGAAATCTTCCACGGAAAGAGTGATCATTTTGTCTTGTGTGTAGGATTAGTATTATCGAAACTAACGCTTATGTTCCGTTCTTTTTGCTATGCTCATGAGGCTAGGGGCCTAAGGGGTATCGTTTTTCTGTGGTAATGGAGGCGGAGCTTTTTCCGCGGAAGATTCCTTTAATAATTAGTGTTGATGAAAGCCTTCTAAGGTGCGGATATACCCATTGACTTCATTCGGGATCGCAGAACATTTTTATGAGCTATCCTTGCCGATACAGTCTTCTTACGTTAGGACTGCGCTTTTGAAGTATCGTTCCTTATCGTCCCATGACTGCTCCCGCCTGCGGTGATGCTGGCGCGGCCAAAAAACAGCTTAAAACAGCAGTTTAATTTTTTTGACCTTGTGTTCTCCTAATCTTATTGTTGCCCACACATGCCAGCAGATGTAATAGATAAGTTCATGTTTTGCCAGAGCAACAAGAAAACTCTGTCTACACTTGGATGCGTGAGATAATCCACTTCACCATCAGCGTAGCCACCAGGCATTCCACCTTCTAATCACCAGTAGTACAGACCGAAGCAATACAGCCTTATTGTTAGCATGACTTCAAAGAACACGAAAGTAGAAGAGGTGCAGAAATGAGTCCATAAATTTGTCCCTCCGCAAATAAAATCGCATTATCGTGGCGGCCAGTTTTTCAGAAATATGGACCAGAGATTGAAGTGCGGTTAAATAGGTAAATACCTTGATTGAATAATTTGTATCAGTTTCTCACATCAAGTATTCAAGTTTGTTTCTCTCTTACAGCTAAGGGTGCCATCTTACAGCTAAGGGTGCCTGCCTACAGCTCGTCGTCTTAAAGCAACAGTCCAGGCAGGGTTTCAACTACTTGGTCATTAGGCGGTCAAAACATGCCCCAGCCCAACTAAAGTTTATAGGAAATGTCTTTAATTTCAAAACCTACCTCTAAAATGCGCTGGAAGGGGTCGAAGTCCTCTTGGAGGGGGCGGATCACCCATAAAGAGGCGGATCGCCCAACATTCGCTGTGCAGAGCGCTTGCTCGACTAGCGGTCGTTGCGGGACCGCCGCGCTGTATGAGGTCGATTCCATAAGAACGCAATTGAAGCGCTTCAATTTCGATTGCTGGCAAATAGTTATGTATTTGCAAGCATGCATGGCTATTTGCCAGCAGTCAACTGGAGCGCATGTACTACGGGCAGGTTCGGACAACTCGTCCAACACACATCTCCCTAAACGGCAGGGGGAGTCCCTGTCTAAGCCCCTGCCCGACGTTTTTTTCTACTTTTTCTTTCTCCATTGACCAACTTCTCACCTGCAACGTCATTATAGGTGGTCCTTACCCGCGAATTCGTTCCTGGATTGTTGCTTTAAGTCAGGTTTTGCCGACACCGCTAATGATTTTCCAGCCCCTAGAACTTTTTTCTTGTAATTTGAAAAGGTATTTGAACGATTGGGTTTCACGAATATGTTAGACTTTCTTTACAGGCTCCGAAGAAGGCGATTCAGCCGAAACGTCAGTCAGAATAAAAGTCTATATCAATCTATGCAGGGAAGAAACAAATTGATACAATACTATGCCGAGATTGATGGAGAGTCGATCTTGGTTATTCCCACATCAAATGTTTTCTATGCGAGAAAAATGAACAAGCGGAAACTTTTATGTTGACCTAATTGGTTTGTTACGGCTTATTCTTTTCAAAAATGCTTCAAAATATGGCAGGCTCTAGTAATTTCAAAGCGAAATTTTTATTTTTTTACACAAAAATTTCAAAAAGTACCCCCAGATGTTCGGAGGTCCAACATTGGTGCAGCACCATCGTGAAAGCCATAATATTGAATCAGCCTCCAAGTGACTCATTCCTATATGGACACACCGTCAGTTACATGTTGCACCGGTGTTTTTCCATACACGTTTGCCTATCTACCAGAGACCCACGTTGCGCACATTTCTCGCCTCAGCAGCGATATTTTCACTGCAATTGGGTTTCGCAGGTGTTGCGCAAGCGCTATGAAAATAAGCGGGTTTATGCAGTTGGTCCGATAACCTTTCGCCCGTGCCACACTACGTGGGAGCAGGGTCAACCATCACGTTCGCTTCAAAAATTTGGCGACCCCCCACCACCACCGCCAGTTTTAGAAGGCTCTCAATTTGAGAACCTC